ACCCATGAACCTACATGCTTCAGCCTGAGCCACACCTGCTCTTGGCACAGTCCCCTTAGGTAACATTCTCTGGTAATCCAGATATTTATTTCCTAAGCCTACACAGTCCAGCGGCTCACTTCTACTACCTCTGTAACTTTCAGCTTCGTGGGTTACAAGTGGTGCCATTTTGTCATTAACATCACCGGTAACATATGGTGGTGCGACTCAGATCACCTGATCACCCTTCTCCCACACATAAAGCCAGTTTCCAATTGTGGTTTTATCAACCAGGACTGACTGGAATGTCGTGATGGAGAGAGTCATGCCGGGACTCTGGATGTCACCAGACAGCTTTAGGGATTTAAGATTGACTTTGAATCTGATCAGAGCCCCTTGGAGAAATAGCCTGGTACCGTGCTTATTCACATGGTCATGGCACTCTTTCCAGGTCCCCCTTTGGGAGCCCACCTGCATCACCACCTCCTGAAAAGAGACTCGGCAATTGAACTGAACGGACTTATTTTCAGGACAACATAATTGAGTCAGTGAAATATGAAGCAATCTACCAACTTTGCTTCTGGAATGACACAACAATGCCATATCAAGATGATGATGCTTTAGGGATTCCAGCCTTTCCTACCTTGGAAGAATCAGCTAACAGCCTCTCTGTTCCAGTCTCGGATCCCACTCCCTTGCCCCTTAGCTCAGGCCGAGAGACTTCCATCCCCTACACAGGCGGGGACCACAGCCCTTGTCAGCAGGAAGCAGTTAATGGATACACACTGTCCTCCCTTATCAACCCTAAAAGATTTCAGGATGGAAGTCTCTCAGGGGGGAATGAGACAGACTGCAGCCAGGCCAAGTGGAATAAGGAAACTGAGACGTGTCGTTAAATGGCCAAGAAGTTTACAGCCATCTAGTAAATGCAAAGTCCTATTTTCTGTAACCAAGGACTCTTAAGAGAAATGGTTCACACTTCTCCCCAGTTAGAGGGTAAAAAGCTTAAAATCACCTTACTCATGAAGATAGGTAGCAGAAACCCAATTAGTATCATTTGTGCAGATGAAGTTAAGGGAATAAATCTCATTTTGGCACATCAGCATAAGTTGATGACTATTCTGTTGAGATTCTCCCCTAAGACCTTCCCTAACCCCCCAGCCTTTACAACCTTTAAGACAAAGGACCCAGCATGCTTTTCTTCCCAGGAGCACATCTGTGCCTTTCCCTTCTCCCTTTTATTCCCCCATAGGCATGCATCTCTTAAACTCTGAGGGGCCCTACGAGATTTGCAACCAGGGGAACAATGGGCAGCGGCAGCTTGTCCAAGGCCAAACCCCTGAACGTGCCCACAAGACCCCTTTTCTCTCACTGCCCAGTGCGCCGGCAGCAGCTTTGCCTTGCTCACTTTCCCCCATAACGTTTCTGAAGAGCCCGAGCAGCCCCGCCTAGTCTCTCTCCTGTTGCCCTTCCTTGTTTCACTGGCCCCAGCTTTAATAAATGCACTCTCAAAGTGAAAATAAAGATGTAATATAAGTTACCTTTCTGGTGATTAGTGTTAGTATCAACATTCTGTAATGATATATAGTTTTGTAAAATGTTATCAATTAAGCAACTGGGGAAGGAATACAAGAGTTTTCTTTATTATCCTCCTACATAATAAAAGGCTAATATTCAAATTGTCCCCACGGGAGGGAGTTCAACTGACCAGGAGTTAGACATGTGCTCACCACCAGGGGGTGGCGCGGAACATGGCAGGAGTAGGCGATGCGGTGCTGCCGGCCCCGATGGCTCCTGATGAGAGCAGACTGCGGTGGGATGGTGGAGCAGGTGAGCAGGCGGCGCCAGGCCAAGGTGGGTGTGAGTGGGGGCACCAGTTGTCCCACTGGTCACCACGGTGGGGGATGGGGCCAGTGAGCTGGAGGAGCCAGGCCAAGGCGGGTGTGAGCTGGGGCCTCGATTGCCCCGCAGGTCACCCCACAGATGGCGACCAGCAGTGGTGCTGGGGGGTGTGGCCGGGTAGTGGGTGGCACCAGGACAAGGTGGGTGCGAGTGGGGGCCCTGATCGCCCTGCCGGTCACCCCACAGATTGGCCCTGATCACTGGCAAGGCCTAGGGCCCCTACCCGTGCATGAATTTCATGCACTGGCCTCTAGTTTATTATAACTGTACTAGAGGCCCAGTGCACAAAATCATGCACCTTGAAAAGAACTAGGCTGTGAGGCTGCGGTGGGCACAGGGGCGGGTCTCGGTCCATCCTCCGTGCCCCCGCCTAGTCCTTCCCACAGCAGCCCCCAGTCCCCTGTCTGCTTGCAGCCCTGCTCCTGCCGCTGCCACTCCCATGCGCTGACAGCACCGCCCCTGCTCTCACCCGCTGACAGCGTGGAGCAATTGGGGCCGGTGCCAACAGTGGGTGCGAGCAGGATCGGCACTGGCAGCAGGTGTGAGCGCTGGGTGGGCCCGCGGCACACGGGAGCAAAGAATTTTCAGTAACCACCAGAGGCTCGCACCAATGACAGTGACCGGCTCCCCGCCTTGGTCTGGTGCCCCCGCTCACCTGCTCCACCATCCTGCCGCGGCCAACGCCCGCCATGTTTCGCGCTCTGCCACCTGCTGCTGACGCCCACCACGTTCCACGACCGCCCCCTGGTGATCAGCGCACATCACAGTAACCAGTTGTTCGGTTGTTCAGTTGTGCGGTTGTTTTGTTCAGTCTATTTGCATATTAGGGTTTTATATATATAGATGTTATAATTTAGTGTTATTTCAAAATAACAAGTTTAATTGAACAGAATTGCTGTTAAGTGTTTTAAGTACACTGGTGCTACCAGGGCTCTTAGTATGGCAAAGGAGGCACACAGACACATTTCTATTATACATAAGTTTTGATTTTGTAGTTTCTGATTTGTGTTTTTGTTGTTGTTTAATGAAATACTCTAGGAAGGAAATCATATAATCCATAATTATTTCAAGGGTATTTTTTTTGAATTTGTATTTGTGCTCCAGTCATTTTTCTTGTCTTTTGTAACTTATTTCAATCATTTCTACTTCTTTTTCTTCTTGTAATATGACTTTACTTTAGAGAAGTTTAACCCAGGTTGCACATGGAACAGTAGGCAGGAAGATATGACATGAGACGTTATCCCCACTAGCATCAGAATTTTGTGTATTTATAACTTCGTCAAAGGAACATGCGTTAAATCTCATTCTGATAACTCTATGAGGTGATTGCTTTTTATGTATTTTCTTTTTCTTTAACAGAAACTACCACATCTAAGAGTGCCAGTGGGCTTACAGATATAACTTGGAGCTCCAGTGGAAGTGATCAGTCAGATGAAGGTAACTACTTTCTAAGTCAGAGAGAGGGAATGGACATGGTTCTAGAATAGACAGGTTTTGTAATGGGAATATTTTATGTTCTGAACGTGGAGCCAGTGAAGGTAAATTGATAATTTTGTAAGAAATCTAGTTTCTATTAAATATTGGGTTCAATCTTGGAAAAAAGTTACATTCCTTTTCTAATACTTAGCATTGATTATGTGTGATCTCACTGAGTCCCAACGTCTAGGCTAAGCCCTTTAGAAATATTTTTTTCATTTACTATTTCTCATAATAGCTCTAAGAGATAGGTATTACCACTAGAATTTTTACAGTTAACAACTTAGGCTTGAACATGTGAGAATTGGTTTGGATTCCACTTTGGCATTCTTTGACAGCAAAGCCAGTACTCTCAACTAACTACTTAATGCTACATCCATATTGCCTCCTTGCTAACCTGTTTTGGATAAATACTATGGCAACTAATGTGTGGTGGAAGTGTAACTACTACTAAATTTGTTCTGATGGCGTTTTACATTATATCCTGCTTTTGACATTTAAAACAGGGTTTCTCAGTCCTGGCATGTTGCCATTTGGAGCGAGGGAGTTATTTGTTTGGGATGGGAGCTTTCCTGTGCATTGTGGGTGTTTAGCAGTATCTCTGGTTTCTGTCCATTAGATGACAGCAGCTTTCCCAGGCCCAGTGGTGACAACCAAGAATGTCTCTAGATGTCAGATGTCCCCTAACGCAGCAGTCGCCAACCTTTCGGACCTCATGGACCACCAGTGGTCCACGAACCACCAATTGGTGACCTCTGCCCTAAAGTACAATTCACACCCCAGTTGGGAACCACAGACTTAAGATTATGAAAATCATGATATTTTCCATATTTTAAAACATATAGCTCATCTAAGAGTAGATAAAAGTTTTAATGCTTTCAACATAAGCTTTGACTTCTTTCTCACTGTTACTTTGACAGTTCACGTTATTTAGTTACTAAGTCAAGGCTCTGTACAGACAGCTCCTGTGGAAGCTGACTATGCTCTTTTGGCCACTGTGTATGACATATTGGTAACTATCATTTGACATTTCAGTAATAGCCAGATAAAGTGGTATTTTAAGGTTATACTTAAACTCAGAATTGCTATTTCAGCCATGTTAAATGAAATTCATTGTCATATAACTCTTGGTTTGTCTTCATGCATCTCAGAACATAATTTCATTATTAAAAACTATATGTTTTTATGAATGAATAGTGAGGTATGTGAATTACATCTCAGTAAAACTGGTATTTAAAACATTGTATCTTGTCCTGTTGTATGAAAAGATCTTTTATATTAATACTCAGTAGTTTCCAAAACTGTTAAAGAATGGGAGGATGCTTTGAGCTAATTGCTTTAAAATGAGTTAGGAAGTTGTTGACTTCTCTTCAATAAGTTGACCATTAGCTAACAAGCAAATGATCCCTTGGAGATTGTCTATTCATGCGTACAACTGCTTGATTAGCTTTTTCTTCTCCCCTCTTTTTCTCTTCTCTCTTCTCCCTTTCTTCCTCTGTCCTTTTTCCCTTTAATTACCATTCATCAAGGTATTTTTTTATCTCAGACACTTGGCTGGATATGATGCTATTTTCTTTGATATCTGCTAGATCCTGTGATCTAAGTATCCTGATTTTACAGAAGAAAATTGAACTTAGAGAAGTCAAGTCCCTTGCCCAGAGTCACATAGTTAATAAATGTGCCAATTGATACCCCAAGCCAGGAATATCTAACTTTAATGCTGTGTTCTTCAGTACTCTTCTGGTGGTTACTAGACCTGGCTTCTTATCAGAATTACTAGGTGAGCTTTAAAAACAATATTTTCAGCTGTATTGGATTAGAGTCTCTGGGCTTTATGGCCCAGAATTGTGATTGAGAGGGCAGAGAAGAACCCTGAGTTAAAATTGTCAAAATATTTCTTTAAAAAATTTTTCCTCTTGATTTGTCTTTTATGTAACTTTGGGAAAAATGTATTCACTTTATGGAGACTCGGTTTCCTCACCTGTGAAATGCAAATTTTAGTCTAACAGCAACTATCTTGCCTGTTTCATAAAATTATTGTGACCAAGTGAAAAGTCTTGTTAGTCTTGGTCATGATAGATCATTTTACAGCAGTATCAGTGTTCATCTGTGAACTTCCCCAAGTTAGAAACACTGTTCTGTATTCTCTTTTGTGCGTGTGTGTGTATTTTATTGTGAGGGTCTAGAAGGGCACGATAGGCCCTTTGTAGACCCTGATTTTATTGAATGAAAGAGGACTGAATGAATGAATGCTACAAAAATGTGTTGAACTGGCGGCAGGGGCATTAACTCTGAGGACACTTGTGCCCTTCCCCTTGCTTTCCATGGCTTCCTGCTGTGATGGCTTAGCAACTGGGAGAGTTTCTTATGCATTCCTGTGTCTAGCCTCCATGAGTAAATGTGATGGTAGATACGAGGGAATAATTGCCACCATGCATCTGCTTCTCCAAGACTGGACCTCCAGTTTTTTGAAACTGTTATAGTTGACTTTTACCTTATCTTCTGAACAACAGAATCAGATTAAAGAATACTATTTCTTTTTATTTTGTTTACTTTATCTCATACTTTTAACTATAGCTTAAATATTTTCTTTTTTTGTTTTTATTCTGAATTCCCTTAAGATATTAAAGCTAGTAAGTTTTATATTTTTAATTTTATTTCTATCTGGAAGTGAGAATATTGCTATTAGACCTCTGAAATAGGGCCAAGATATCTTACTAGCCAAGGTGGGTGCCAGTGGGGGCCCCCTGATCGCCCTGCCGGTTGCCCCACTGATTGGCCCTGATCACCAGCCAGGCCTAGGGACCCTACCTGTGCACAGATTTTATGCACCCAGCCTCTATTCTATATATGGGTCATTTATGCAATGGTTATTCCACCAGTCATTCCAAACTAAATGACCCATAGTTTATAAATGACCTATATTATATAGGATAGTATTCCATTGCATAAATGACCCATATACCCTTCGATTGGTACCTATAATGTGCAATGGCCACCAGGGGGCAGATGCCCAATGCACAGGCATAGAAATGCGGAACAGACCGATGAATATCAGAGGGAAGGGGGGATGGAGGAGGGCAGGAAGAGATTAATCAAAGATCTTATTGGCATACTAGAGGCCCAGTGCACACGTGCACTGGTGGGGTCCCCAGCCTGGCCTGCTGGGACCGGGATGAAACTGGCAGTCTGACATCCCCCTAGGGGTCCTGGATTGCAAGGGGGCGCAGGCCAGGCCAAAGGACCCTACTGGTGCATGAATCCATTCACTGGGCCTCTAGTATTATAGAAAAGAATTGGGATGGCTCCTTATTTACTGATGTGGAAAAACCTCCACATCATTTAAGTAAAAAACAGATCACAGTATACCGGAAAGGAGAAAATTGACTATATTTTATTTGCTTTAACGTGCTGGAGAAACCATAGAAGGATACAGAAACTACTAATAAAAGTAGATACATGAGAATTGGAGTAGGAATAAGAGTTAGGAGAAACAGGATGGCTAGAGAGAAGAGTAAGAATATACTTTTCACTGTCTTTTAATATATTTTTAAATTATTGAGCAACATGTTTTTTAACTGTTGAGAATAAAAAATAAATTTAAAAAAATAAAATTGAGTTTAAAATTGTATTTAACATATAAAATTGAGTTTAAAATTATTTTCTAGATGAACTGCAGTTTGTTGACTGGGAGAGGGACAGTGACAGGGAAGATACTAACGATGAGAATGAATTTGAAGACAGTGAGAGTGCTGTGGAGGATGGCGAGAGTGCTGTGGAAATATCAGACTGTGCTTCTTGTGCAAGCAGTCGTTCTTTGACAAGTGAAGACAGAGTATCTGAGCTTCCTAAGGTAAGAATGAATTGTTGCAAAAATTTTTATTCTATTTATGGCATTTCCTAATCATATCCTTCCTCAAGGGTAGCAACTTTTAACTCCTCGTGGATTCTTTTGCACTTTACCTCCTTATCTCTAAATAACATGCTTGTAATGTATTTCTAAACATAGATAAATTTTTTTATGACAATGTTACATGCAGTAAACACTAGTTATTCAAGAAAAATGTTCTTACATGTAATAATATTACATGCAGTAAACATTAATATTTCAAGAATAAAAGGGTTTTAAGTATAATATCACCAAAACTGTACTAACATAGTATGATATCACAAAATTTGTAGGAAATATTAAATATCTTCAAATAACAGGATTACTTATATCATACTCTAGAATATATTTTTCCCTCTGGCTCTATTTTTTTCATCAGTTTATGTTGTTCATTATATTCCACAAATGAGTGAGATCATGTGATATTTTTCTCTGACTGGCTTACTTTGCTTAGCATGATGCTTTTAAAGTCTATTTTGTCGGATATGAGTATTGCTACTCTAGCTTTTTTTCTTTTCAATTTGCATGGAAAATTTTTTCCCATCCCTTCACTTGCATCCTGTATGTGTCTTTTGTTTTGAGGTGGGTCTCTTGTAGACAGCATATAGTTGGGTCATGTTTTTGTATCCATTTAGCTGTCCTACATCTTTTGATTAGAGCATTTATTCCATTTACATTTAGGGTTATTATTGAGAGGTACTTATTTATAGCCATTTTAATTCTGTATAACTAGGTTTCTCTCTCTGTTTGTTCTTACAGCAATCCCTTTAGCATTTCTTGTAATGCTGGCTTGGTGGTGATGAACTCCTTTAGCCTTTTTTTTGTCTGGGAAGCTCTTTATTTGACTCTATTTTGAATTTGCATTTAGAGGTTGTTTCTTTGTTTCCTCATTATGGTTGTCTGTTTGGGTTTGTGACTATATATTAGGTAGATCCTCTACACCTTTCAATCTCTAGTGCAGGACAGTGTTAAAGGCTGTTTCTGACTAATTGGATTAGATCCCAGAGTTCTAAGTGGCTCCCCCACAGCTGAGATACCTCTCCAGGACTTCAGTTGCCATCTGTGGGTGTCCGCCCAGTACTTTTGCACCTCCACCCCTCCTATCAGTCTCTATGCGGTCTCCACCTTCGGTCCTTGGGTATCAGGGTTCTCTCCTGTGAGTTTTACATTGATTATTCAGGAAGCCT